AAATGTGCACAGAGCGGGCACGAAAATGCTGAATGTAGAGTGGCCCAAAAGCCGCTTAAAACCAAGGCCATGTGTGAAGGAAAATATAAAGCTTTTGGCCTGAAGCATTGCCCACTTTTAAGTAAGTAATGCGATAAGGCAGAAGAAACGGAAAACAGTGCTGGGCTAAGGTAAATACACGAAAGAAAGCCCTGCCGAAATAGAGATTTAAATCTAAGCCACACTTTCGTGGCTGGAATTTAATGTAAAAGGTGGGGAGAGCATTCAAAAGAATTATAAAATACGTAAAAAATTAAACAATAATGTATTTATAATGTATTGACAAATTTTCTAAAAAGTGATTCTTTTTTCAATTGACAAGATTTTTGAAAGAGAAAGTTCCATGTCTCATTAAAATATTAACTGTTGGATCAAATGATTTAAAAACATAATTCTAAAACACACTTTGAAAATTTCTTGTGATGAAACTATATTTAGCTCGTTTATTTTTTCCGAAGGCCTTGATAAGTCTCCTTAATATAACTCGACCAACCAGCACCGGAAATCCCTTTACCCAGAACAACACTAAATTATTAATCACTTAACACTATTCATCCCGAAAGACAACAATGCGGTTGATGATTGGACGGCTTCAAGTCAATTTATAAGGAGGGACAAAGCAGGGAACCCTAGTTCTCCCATGATAGGAGGACTTTGGCAAGCCGGTGAATATATCTTGGTCAACAGACAAAAAGCTTTCATTAATTCAATATGCTTACGGGCGAGGTCAACTATCATTAACTAGCGCAGCAGACAAGCATCGTTCTAATGATGAAGACGATGATAACCGATTGGGAGTGTGAGAGGCTGGATGTATATGTGGAAATGAATTAGTTTGCATTAAGTATACGCCGCAGTGTACACAGCAGAAGCTGAGCAGGATTTAAGAAGTAGATGTGAGTGTGCGGGCAGGACTTATGACTCTCGCTCATTTGGCTGCCGACGTAGAGTGGCAGAAGCCCTCGGGGAGATTAAGTTCCAGACCCTAGCTCGTAGCCCCTGTACCCTGTACCCTCTATCCTCCCGAGAGACTGGGTGTGTGTGAAGCATGGAATATTAATTCCTTAAGTAATTCACAACATTTGCAACTAATGTTTGTTAATGAGCTATGCCACATCCCCCCGCATCCCGGCATCTTGGCATCCAGGCGTTCGCCTCCGGATTTGGCACTGCCTGAGGTCAAGGCGAGTGCTGTGGGATGTCTACTGCTGCTGCCTGCTGCTGCTCCTTTCCGACTTGTTAAATGCTGGAATTACCAAAGTGGAAAAGTGAAAAGGTCCCTCAATAAGCCAGGCTCTCCTCAGTGGATGGTGGCTCCTGACAGCAACGGTCTCAAAGCCGCACACAAAACACTTAATGAAATAATTATGTAAAGCAAACAACCTGTCGTTATATGCCCACCTTGGCCATCACCTTTGCCGCAGAGACTTGCTTTTGACTTTCATTAATTTGATGATATCCAATCTTAATTATTATGCATTTAATTAGATGGCTTTTCGGTCCTAAGCTGTGCTGCAAGGTGGATATTACTTTGCTTTCGGCGTTTATGTACCAACCTACAGGCCCTGTAAACATTTCATCAATATTTTATATATCTTCTATGACTGTTTTAATCCCAGATTGCCAATAATTTTAAATTTCGACATTTATTATTATTATTAAATAACATATTACTGATAATGTATTTTACTACGCTTAACTCTTTGGTAATAGTACGTGCTGCATGGTAAATTTCACTTTACTTTACAGTATCTGTAACATTCCATCTATAGTTTCAGTTTTATGACTGTACTAGTCCCGGATGGCCATGCATTCGAAATAATGCCTAGATCCTAAAACTAGCAACTATGTCACGGCACCTAAACTAGTTTATCACATGCTAATCGCAACACTCCCCATTTGGTATGCAACAAATAGCGGAAAGAATTCCACTCACCAAAGGGTGGGGGCTTGTAAAATAATTTGAAAACACGGCATTAGCGTAATGAAGCATGGAAAAGTGGGCGGTCGCCCGTGGGGGGGGCGGGAAAGTAGGTGAAGCTGTTGGCAAGCAGGTGAAAAGCGCACATAAATGCCAGAAGTTATGCAAGTCCTTAACTTTCATGAGTATGCCACGTTGACAGACGAGCTATTTGAGGGGAGGGGTTGGGGGAGGTGTTGCTGAAGGGGGTGGCAACTGATGGTTAGGGGGGTGGAAAAGAAAAACTGTTGTTGCAAATGCAGATAGCACTGGCTGGGTGCAAGTGGCGTATCACACATGTTTGTCATCTGAATGGCGCTGCCTCAAAGTGTCTGTCTGGATTCAGGTTGAGTGCGGGTTTTCTCACACATTTTTACACCGCACACATACCTGCCATCAGTTACACAAAAGCAAAAGATTCTTTTAACTATTTTATTATACATTTAATTTGAAATAAAAAAACGTTCTTTATTTTTAAATTTTTGTTTCCTTGATTAAATCATCTTTGAAAGATTTGCTAGGTATTTAAAAAAACTGCATTTAAAACTTCAGAGTTCCTGAAAGGCAAATCTTACTCCAATATTATTAAGAATTTTTTAAAATTTCTTTTCAGCTAGAGCCACTATTAAATGGTTAGCAAATAAAGATCATAGTTTTTATCAGTGCACGCATACCACTCCGGAAAGCCTTGTATTCTTATTCAGTGCGTAATCTTCACCTTTTTCACAGTTTTCCCATGCACTTTTATTGCATCCTTTCAGGTCGGCTCCTCCGAGGAGCAGGAGAAGGAGCAGCAGCCCGAGCTTGTATCGACAAAAGTTGCACCTTGAATTTGCCACTTTATGCCGCGAGCTCCCCGCACTTTGCCGCCAGTTAAGTAGTTGTAAGCTGCATAATGTATTTACGCAAGCACCGGAAACTGGGTGCCACGAGCTGGGTGGCAAGGCAACCATAAAGCCTTGTGGCAGCCATCGTGCTAAACGCGCATAGACAAGTGTGATCCCCTGCGGATGCCGACGAGGACGTGGGATGCGGATGCGGACGTGGATGTGGATGTGGATGGGGATGTGGATGCGGATGCGGGTACTCTTTGGTTTCTGCTGGCATATTTTATGGCGCTCTGAATCCAGCTAAATTGCAACAACTCGCTGCTGCGGAGCAGATTTGATTAATATGCAACATGCACGTAGTTCGGCAAGCTGCGGTTTACAACCACTCGTATGGCTGAGATTTTAAACTCTTTTGGGTTCCAAATTAGGGTTCACTGTAATGTTGGGAAAAACACCAATGAAAGGGATTTTTAAAGTACACCAAGCTTAAAGTTAGAAATACCTTAAGCCACAAAACATGATATCCAAATCACTTCCTTTAAAGCGTATTTAAATAACACAGGAATATGTATTTCCCTGCCAACTGTATATGCAGATGCTGGTAATTTTAGCATTTCTTTGAATGGCAACTTTATGTTAATTTCTTGTGTAATTGGCCAACATTTAGTTTTTAAAACTGACTCGGCACGATAAAAGGGCGGGAAACAGAATGCAAATATAGAGTTTTTGCGAAGAGAGAGGTAGCTCTAGGATAGGTGGGCTGTGACATTCATAGAGTTCAGGGTCCATTCCCTGGCCCTCATTGTCATAATCATCAGCAGCGTAGTCATCGTAGGCAGCCTTGCCAACCGCATCAGGCGAATTTTGTGCGGCAATATGCAAATTAACTTAAATGTCAACGTTGGTAAAATTTTAAAAACGACAAACGCAGATTCTATCCGAAAAAGGGTGCCAAACTCGGTTGGCAAATGGCAGCAATGGAAATTCGTCGGAATTGTGCACCAGAAGAGAGCTGCTGACAAACTGCAAACGTCAACCAATTTTTTCCCCTCCACTTTCCATGTACAGCAACTGGGAGTGAGTGAAACTCGGTGACAATGATGTTAACTAGAGTGTGAAAACTATGATTGGCTGACAACGAGGAGGAGGAATGTGATGGGATGGCTGGGATACCTCTACATCTCCATATACAGCCTGATTTATGCCATATCCCTGCTCATCTCACCGCTCTGGGGTCGTCACCTGCATCACATCACTCCGCTTTTCTCGGCTCGTCAACCACTTTGCGTACGTCTGTTGAAACAAATGCCACAAACGATTCTCATTTTCATTTTCCTTCTCCTTTAAAGTGCGACCACCGTGAAAACTCCCATATTATGCACTTTAAGATCGATTGCAGGTGGGCAATTGTACGAAAAAATGAGGCCATTAAATTGAGTAATAGGTTTAACAGCGGAAAAAGTAAAAGGGAATAATCAAATGAATAATCATAGCTAGTTTTTATAATGTAATTAAACCCAATTAGCATTAATTTGGCTTAAAAAGTAAAGCCTGTTCCATGGCAGGGGTGAATTACATTTAATAAAATTAAATTAATAGTTTAAAATTCACAAACAGCCATCGACTGTTAAATTCACAACTAATAATCTGGATCCCAGCATACAACTTTCACAGTTGGTTTATGCATGGCCACGCCCTCTTCCTGCCCAATAACCACACAAAATTACTGCTGAATTCATTTCAGCAAAAGTTTCCTGCTGTTCAGTTCCATCGGGTGAAATATTTTGACATCCAGTTGGTTTGCAAGCTCCCCGGTTTTGCATCAGTTTAATGCGTTGTTAGTGCGAATAAATTGTGACCCTCTTTTATTTTTTTGTCTCCTAGTTTTTTCTGTGCATGTGTGGCGGTAAAGTCATGAATGAATATTTAACAAACTTGTCTGCAATTCCGGGCCACGTTTGAATATGTGAGTTGACTGGATGGGAATCTGACCAAGAAGGATAGGTGGCATGCATTTTTGAGGCGCTGTGTTACCGGTGTTTCAGCACAGTGAGAATTTAATTAGAAAATGTTTTTTCTTGTTTTTGAAGTGGTTAGAAGTGTGAGGAGTAACAAGAAGCCATCAAATTTAAATTTATCCAGAAATAATCGATTTTACTCCATTGAAGAAATTGTATTTTATTTATTTGTATTTCTCTTATTCGTTATGGCTTAAGAATTATTGCAAACACTTCATTTCGTTTTAATTAATTTTCCATTTCGTTTTTATTTTCATTTGCTTTCCCATAAAATTTAGTGTTGCAAATCAAGTATACGCAACGTTGGAGCAACTCCTTACAATTCTGTTTATTTAGTTGATTAGGTTTCGGTTTTATTTAGGGGTTTCCTTGGCTTGGCTGCGTCTAAAATTTTAGTAAGTCTTTTATATACTAACTAATGTTTACATTTAGTTTTTGGCTTGCTTTGGTTAATTATTTGAATGGAACGCAGTAACACCCGTTTATTTACACTTGTATTCAATATTCATTTATAATTATTCTTTATGCATAAAAATGTATTTTTGTCTTAAAAAATCAGGGGTATTCATACAGATATCGGAAGGTATACATACATATTTACAATTTATAGCTTAAGGAAACGAAAGAAATTCAAAAATTACTCTTCATTGGCCAAAGAGCTGAACTATGTGATTTTATTTCATAAAATTCCCTTCAATACCGGTGATTTATATATGGAATCTCAATCCTTCCAAGTTCTTTGTGATTAGTTAACTTATATATGATACAACCATGGCAGATTCCAATTGATTAACGTAAGGAAATGGTTCTTATCCGTTAAAGGCGAATTCTGTGCATTCTATTTACACAATTCTTGCAACATTTCAATCAAAATATGCGATATGCCGGAACCTAAGCGTGACTCCCAATATTCATTTACACTCAGATGGAAAACCAATATGAATCTGGTATGATTATTAATATAACGCATGGGAGAAGTCGTGAATATATTGCCTTATGATGGGTGTCTCCTTACTCTCTGCTTTAGCGTGTATTTAAATCGAGTAAAATCTTAATTCGTAGCCTCCTTTATGCGTAAAATCCAAGTGACCAGGCGAGGGCCCGAGGACAAATCAAGTCTTGTCCTCTGCCACTTTGGTGGCACTAATTGAGCTGCTGCCCCTGATGAAGCTGGCCCCTGATTTGGGTCCTCTTTCACCTCCTGCAGCTGGTAGTCCTCCTGCTCCTGCTCCTGTGCCCGGTGTCCTTGCGGTGGCTCTGCTGGCATTCGGTTGGCAGATGTCCCTGGCCAGTGCAAATTTAATAATCCACAAAAGTGTCAGAAGCGTTGAAACATTCCGCCAGTGCAAATAGCCGTGACATCCAATTAGCGCACTCCAGCTGACACTGCCCGACTTAATGGCCGAGCGGAATATTCACCTGCCGATCAGAAGGGAATGGAGCAAAGTTATTCGAAAGCACAGAATGTTGTGGGTTTTTGTGGAACCACCACTACCAAAACCAGTACCAGCAGAAATCCCGCCATGGTAGCAAAAACTAATTCAATAATGACACTGCAATCCGCCCAATTTCCCAGTACCCAAATCGCACCCAATCCGCAGGCATCACAATCAATTTTGACTAAAAATTAAATCCACCCAGACGCGACTCCAGTGTGGCTCAACCCGTCTGTGTTCGATTGGATAAATAAAGTGCCCATTGTAATTAAATATTTCTATTCAAAAATTGAACGGCAAACATGAGTGTGTGTATGCCTGTGGTTTATCCATGCTCATGTGGGTGAATCGCGAGTTTTGTGTACTGCTAATACAGCTGATGGATTTTTGTGGCATGCGTATATGGCAAATATTGAAACTGAATAGGCATCCCCCCGAAATGAACTGAAAAGCTTCAGAGTAAATAAAGCTACAGCCTGATCCCCGGGCAGCTCATTAGCAAAGCCATGGCAAATTAAAATCTAAATTTAACATAATTTAACAATGTTTTCATGACCATAAGGAGTCAACAGTTTAAACAAAACTAAGCCGTGTTAAATAGTCAATTAAAATTTTTATTGATTATAACAACATTTAAGATTTAATACTTTTTAACTTAATAACATACAGAAATGAAGACTTTGAAGTTCAAACTACTCAAAGAAGTCCAATATAACCACAACTAGAATTTTGAAATAACAAATTGAAATTAAAATAATTATAAATTTTACTATTTATAAAATATTTACGAAATTATTCCTTTTTTTCTGTTTTAATTACTTTAAGTTCTCATGCTAAGGAGTCCACAAGTTAACCACAGCTAGGCAAAGTGAAATAATTATTAAAAATCTAAATTAATTATAACATGGTTTACGATTTAATTCCTTTTAAGCTTAAATCTTGCAGCAATACCTTGTGTTAAAATGTTCTAGTTCAAACACTTCAAAGTCCTCAAAGAAGTCCACAAGTTAACCACAACTAGGCCAAACTAATTATGAGCTGCGCAGCACTAGCTCTCCCATTTTCGACCTGATATCAATTACCATAACCACTATATGGTTTGTATCCGTCGGCAACGGTAACAGAATCATGTGAGTCATCAGAAAATGAGTCTAAAACGAGCTGTGGTCTGCGGAATCAGTTATGCAATGTGCGGGGGCAACTTGTCGAATATGTATGAAATTACTTATTTAAAATAATTAAACTTGAATAAATTTAAAAGCCGACCGCACGCTGACATTGCCACTTCGCAAAGCGCAGGGGCGAATTGCGAGTTGAACAAGCAAATTAATTATGCCACCGGAAAAAAGGCTAGGGCCAGCCTAGCTGATTTAATAAATCAGTGAGAGAGGAGTGCAATTAAAATAAAAATCCCTGAATAAATAAATGATAATATCATTAAGTTATTAATAATCATTTGTCATGGCACAACGTTGCGCCAGCGGCAACAAAAAATGTAATATGCCACAACATTTGTGCCGCAGAAATGACATTAAGTTTATTAACCTTTTCGCACTTGCACACGATTCGTGGAAAATATATTATTAAAATTATGTAAAAAGCGCAAAGTGGGGGCCTCTTCTGTCTGAAATTTCATTATTGTCTGGCACTCCGCCAGGCAAACAGAAACACACACGCCTACACACATATCTCTGGAGCATTGTTTTTCATTATCCTGGGCCTTAACATCCTTTCACTCTTTTGCCCAGCTTAACGGCAACAAAAAACCGTTGGCAAGTGGGCTGTGAGCCTTTCTTTTATCTGCGTCAATTAGTCGAATATTAAAAATACATTAATTCCTTGTTATAAATGATGTTTGCTTTCGCCCCCGCCCCTGCCACATTGCGGCCATTTCACAGCAAATTAAATTGTGAATTAATTTTAAAATCCCGGTGCAAAAAAATTCTTTTACGATTGTTTGCCCTTTCTGACCTAGACTCAAGCGCCCTTGTAAGCCTCCCGCAGACAGGTCGGCGTTTTTATAACCATTATTTGCAGCCTGACAGTTCTGCCAGTCCTGCCAACTTGTACCTGTCTGCCCGAAAATCCTGCTGCGAGTCCTTGTCCTCCGTCAGGTGCCATCAGTCACAATCGCTCGGCATTTGTTTTGTCGGTTCTCAGACGAGTGCGAGTTAACACTAGGCACTGTCGAATCGTATTGTCATGTGCTGAAGTGCCTCTAAGTAGCGTGCTCCAAGCGGAAAGCGACAGCTACAAATAGCAGTCAAACACACAGGAACACAACAAACACGGGACCCGGATGAGGAGATGTCGGAGTTGACAGCCAGGAACAGGAACTGGATCACAAATAGGAACGACAACACAGCCGGCGGTCCTGATGGACAAACCATTTAAATGCAGTCGGAAATTTGTGGCAACAAGCTCACACGGTCAAAAATTATGCAAAAACAATTATCGATTGCATCATTTCACGGCTTTAAAATAAGCCACAAAGAGAATTCCTAGAGTCATTGTATTCAATACCGATGAGTTAAGCTTTTATAATATTTTTTTGCCGAATATAGGAAAAAGTGCTGTGTTTGGATAGGAAAAACTATTGTACAAACAGATAATTAAAATACAATTGAATTAAATGGAAATGGAGAGCATAATACTCTCAAATTAAGGATAAAAATATATACATTTCAATGAAAGACAATAAACCAGTAAATTTCAACCAAGAGTTAGGATTTCACCAGGGGCCATTTTAAATTGAATTCTCGAATTTCACATATTTTTTTGCTGTGTAGGCAAACAGAGAGACAAATAGAGTAGAATAAGACGAAAAAACCGGACAGATAGCTAACCATTACGTAGCGACATTTATAGGTCAGTCATCGTAGACTCCCAGCATCACTGTCATTGTTGTGGGCGTCCTTGGTCCTCGGAACTCGGTCCTCGAAACTCGGAACTCGGACTCAACAGTGTCCATGTTGCCCGTCGGACATTGGGCAAATAACGCAATTGTGGCCATTTCGAGATAACAATAAAACTGCAACTGTTCCTTTGCTGGAAACCGACTCTTTCGGTTTGGTTTTCGGTTTCATTTCGTTTCGTTTCGCTGCCATTGTGTTTGCCATTGTAGAAAATTGTGTAAACAAAATAAAACCTCTCAAATGACCAGAACAGTGGTTTGTGAGGGGGCTAAAACAAAGACGTATGCAAACAAATTTATTTAAATTTTCTGTACTCCCTGGGGCTCTGTTTTTTGAGGAACTTACAGTTCAGCATAGGTTTAATTTACATTCATAATTGGGGGGCATAATATCGGGGTGATTGCCTCACTGTGCGGATATTTCGCGAAAATCAAAAGTCAAACCAAACACAAACGCATCCGAATAAAATTCAATTAAGCTAAATGAAAACTTAATTCAATTGCCTCGCCACACAGACAGACAAACAGTTAAAGCCGCCGAGGACCTCACCTCGTCACCACCCACTTAATCACCCGCCCACCCGGCTTTCACCACCCCCTTACCGTTCAGCACGTGGAGCACAATGGTGCGGGGGGCACTGTTCGAGGGGCTGCACGTGTAGTTGCCGGAATCCAGTTTGACTACGGCCGGAATGATGAGCGAAGCCGTCTGCAATGATGTAATAAGAGCACACTCGCTGATGAAAAGGCATATAGTGATACAGTGAGGCCTCCTTAGTAAAAACTATTTGTTGAATAAAACTTTTATGATTAAAAAATCTATAATCAGTAATTTTCAACAGTCTTAAGGTTTTTTTAAAAAGGTTTTTAAATCCCCTCAGTTGGGATCATGTCAATCAATAAAACTTTCTTAACATTATAAGAATTTGAAATTTAAGATCTTAGCTTCAATTTTATAAAAATTCTTTTAAAGCTTTCTGCAGCGTTTATAACTAAACAAAAATACGAAGTATATAACTATTCAACAAAGTTTGTAGGGTGCTATGAAAAGTAATCAAATACCTAACGACTATAATTGGTCTTTAATATATGTTTGTTGTCAACAGATATGTCTGAAATAATACTTTCCTAACACTTTTCTTTATTTATTAAATTTAAATGAGCAAAGCAAATATTAAATTTATCTCCAGTTCAGGAAGTAGGCCTGTCTTATTGTATGAAATATTATTAAACGGCTGAGACAGCCGTCAGACGAGATCAAGTGTGGCAGGCGCAAACTGCTGGGGCCGTATTAAAAATTATAATTTGACAAACGTTGACAATAAGAATTTAATAAAAATTATTTTACCTGCCGTCGCATTCACGCCAATTTGCGTAATGAAAAGGCATTTAATGGGAGCATTTTCCAGGGAGGAAAATTGCGAGGGGGCGTGGATGCAGGCTGAGGGGGCGGAATGCGGTAAGCCACTTACTGTTATCTGCTTAATGAAACTGCTGCTCGGCAGCATGGTTGTCGTTGTTGTGGCGGCAGTTGTTGCTGCCGCCTCCGTTGTCGTCAGCCAGGTGTTGGTTGTTGCTGCTGCTGTTGAGTCACCTGTCGCAGGAGTTCCTGCTGCAGAGGTGGCTCCTGCTGCCAAGGATGCTGCACTGGTGGGGGCTGCAAGGAGTCCTGCCCCCGCCGTAGTCCCAGAAGTCGAAGATGTTGCATCTACCTCGGCAACCAGCTGAGCTGTCGACGTCTCCGTGACAAAAGCCACTCCTGCAGCAGCAGCAGACCCCAACTCGGATACATCATTCTGGGATATGGCATCTAGGATGTACGAACGTGTTATGGTTACCAAGCCATTGAGCATCTCCGAGGAGGAGGATGTTGCTCCTCCTGTTGATCCTGTGGTTGTTGTTGATGTTGGTGTTGCTCCTGTAGTGGTGGTGCTAGTAGTGGTTGTCGTTGTCGTTGTTGTGGTGGTGGTGGTGCTGGTGGTTGGCACTTCCGCTGGCAGATCGATGCGTTCAATTTCCGTACGCCAACCGCGTCGATTATGCAAATAGATTTGCTTCTGATTGTAAAACCAATTAATGAAAAGCGGCGGCTCCAGTGCCTGGCTAATTATGCAACGCAATTTCACTTGACTTCCGGCCTTCACATGTCGCGTTGACTCGCCAATTAATTCGGTTTTCGGCTCTACAAAAGCCGGGAGAGAGAAAGTGAGATGGATGTAGTGAAAGCCTGGCACTCACACACGGATATTCCCCAAAGTTTGCTCTAGAAAGTGCAACGGTCATTGATTTATTGTCTCTGCCATTGCAGATTTATAGGTGTGGTCAGGGGTCGGGGTTTGGGTTTTGATTTGGATTTTGATTTTGGCATCGACTTTGGCGGATGAAGGCCAATAGGTCAGTCAAGTGTTTGCTCAGTGAATTAGATGGGGAGTGGGTTTACTCAGAGCAAACATAAATTGCAATGGTAGTATTGGGCTTTTAGTAGCACAAATACATAGTACACTCTTAGCTACAAAATGAAATGGCATAATTATATTCAAAATTGTATGTAATAAATATAGGCATCCTGATAAAAAGAAATGGAAAAGTCAAATAAACGACTGCTCGTATTTAATATGTATATTAAATGACAAACATAACTTTTATTGCAAAACCTTAAAAACTTCATAATATACATTTAAAATATATAAATTCGAGTAGATGAAAGGAAATTATATATACGTTAATAAACATTTTTATCAGATCCTTATCATTTTTATCCGCATTCTTGAGTACACATTTTCCCCCAAAAAGCATGCTACAAATTATGCTACACCATCCTTACTCACCTACAATCCTTAGATGGACTATCGCACTGGCCTTGGGCTCCGTGGACACCTGGCACTCGTAGGTCCCCTCGTCCTTGAGCTGCACATACTTGATCTGCAGGGACCATCGCTCGGGATTGGGGGAGAAAACCGACTGGAAGCGCTGATCCGCGATAAAGGTGGTCTGGTCCACGGTAAGGATGTGCCCATCCCTCATCCGCAGCCAGGATATCGGCTTCTTCACCAGCTGCTTGACCTGCCCAGATGAGACAGCAAGTTTACTTTCAATTATCGAGCCATGATGCGAATTGGGGGTTTCAATTTTTAAAATTAATTCAATTATCCCCGCACAAAAGCAATTCAAACAGTAAATCCCAGCTGCCCGACCCTGGAGGTTGGTCAGTGTGATGATGAGGATGATGATGTCAGCAGAACTTTGCCCTGTTTGCGCTGCCCTACCTCAGCTGTAGATGTATACTTTGGGAACTTGGGTGAGCGGGGGATTTGGGAGCCCTGTTAGGGCGGTAAACAATACCGATAACAAAACGGCGATTCATTTGTGTCAATAATGCCAATAATAATTTAGTAGCAATTTGCCCAAGCAGCCTCCGACCAGCGAAAACAAAATAATTCACATTAAAATGCCAGTCATCGATACGGAAGTGCCCCCAAACCTTCGCCCCTCCTCATCAGGTATCTATGTCTGTATTTAAATATGGATATGGATTCCCAATAGCTGGCACAACTTCCTCCCTCTAATTACACTGACCCAAAACAAACAGCCAACCAGTTGAGCAGAGTAAACAGAAATCTCGGTAATATCACAGCGCCCATTACCAGTCAACTCCCCCTTTCGCTCAGTGTGATTATCGGAGGGGGAACTAAGTATTGTGGTAACTGGCCGAGACGAAGGCGTCGTGACAGAGGCAAATGACTGTCTTTGAACCACTGTCATCAACTACATTGTCGGTGTCGGGACCCAGACAACGAGGAACTCCAAGGACCCCGGCGACGACGACAACGTCATGATTAGATACTATAATCATTTGCGTTTTATGTGCTTGTTGTTGCCGCCATTGTTGTTGGGGCTGTCGCCAAGGAAGTGGCGCTGGAGAAGCCCCATTCGGGCTGTTATTGTCGGTTGAGCACGTGCTGTCAAAAAGCATCTCCTTTAAATGAATATGAACATCTTTGCCCCGTCGACAAATCAACTCATTGGAGCGGAGTGCCCAGACACCTGCGGGGGCAGAACGGCATCATTAGGAAAATCCCAAGTACATTTCCTTCTTAAAATAAAAGTATAGGCTTTGTAATCTCTTTGAATCTCATTCAATATTGGATTGAGTTTTTAAAGTGACTTCTGCTTGAAATATAGGTACTAATTTTTATTGCTTTGAAATTAAATTCGAAATCTATGGATTTGTTTTATTCTCTCAACATTACTGCCTTTAACAACCATGAATTTTACGAACTGGGTGATGTGTTTTATATGCTCGATATAAATCTCTTTCCAGCTTTAAGCTCGAATGTTATCCTTTAATCTATGCAGTTGCTTTTATTTAATACCGAATACCGTAATTAAACGCGTTACCTATTGATGTGGCACTTTTATTGGCGAGCCCATTTAATTAATCACTTCCCTGTGGATACATGAGGAATTCGCATACAAACTGATTTCCCAGATATCTGGAAAAATCGAAAAAATCGAAGCCACTGTGCGGGGGGTGAGAGTTTATTAAATTTGCGCCACGGCCTCTGCCAGGAGTATCCAGGCTCTAAGGATATTATTATCGGGCTGAGCATCGACATTATACCCGGTATTAAGTGAAGATGCTTATCCACTATCCACCGATGGGCGTGGGCAGGCAGCCAAGTCAGGACTTCGAGTACGTGGCAAGTGGAAGAAGGTCTCCTGCCTTCCTTCGTCCTTTGTCCTTGTGACTGAAAATATCCCTGTGTGGCCTGAGCTCAGGTTCCGCCTGGCATTAGCTAATTTAAATTTTCGCTGCCTCCGTGGAGATTGGTTTAATTCGGCCGTAAAGTGATGGGTCGTCGACGACACTTATCGAGATGGCCGGGTGTTTGCCATTTAAATATTGTTAATTAGTTTTAGCTGCAGTTCAAACTGCCCCCAAAAACCGTATCACAAAGTCTAGCAACTGCCATATCCACTTCCGCCCCTCGATGGGTTTTATGTGCCTCCAAACTGTCGTCATCATCCGCTCCAGAATCGAGATTGAGACCCCGCGTGAGCATCGTTTTCCATCACAGTCGAGCAGACAGCAAAGTTTGCTCATAACATTGCGAATTTTCGTCTAAACTTGTTTGCAAATAATTTCTTTTATTTTGTTGATTCTCCTCTGTCTTCTGGGTCGCGTCTGCCTCTTTCTTTTCACACAACAATACACCTCAAAGTGCCTGCTTTCATATCTTCAACGAAATAACACAGCACAACATAGCACAACAAAAAAATACAAAGTCGAGAGAAAACTTTTCGCTGAGTTGCCGAAAAAAGCAAGAAAAGAATGACAGGCACTGTGGAGAAAGGGGGGTCTGTCGATTTCGGGTAAAAAATATTCAAGTGCTTGCAGGCAAAGCATTTCTGTGGCTTTCCCCTGCTCGATTTTCACGGCCCTTCGATTCGTTATCCTTCAGCTGCTTTCTTTGTGACGCCCACGGTCGCAAAATGTATTATTAATTGATTAGGTTTAAGCAGATTTGAAGATTATTCCGGGCACATAAATATATACTCGATGCGCTGTGCCAACAGCCAGGAGCGAATATGGGATAACCGATACTGTGTGTACGTATTTAAATTATCTGATAAATATTTTATAGTAGATTGTTTTTCGGTTCCAGCAGAGGGTTCTTGATTGAGGAACATTTTGCCGGCGGGGCAAAGCTAGACAGAGATTGCAAAGTTGGCTAATAATTATATTTAAATACATATTTTGTAATAAGATAGAATTTTAAGATACAATTATTGTTAGAGTTTCAAACAGGTGTTTTAATACATCTTCTAACTATGTTTAATTTATAACGTCATTATTTTCCAGTAAATTCCACTCGACTGATCAAAGAGTTGATTTTTAAAGTTCTCCTTCCACATTAAATTTGAATAAAAATATAGGTTAATTAAAATATCCCGTAAACACACTTTGAAAAGGTGTCCAAATGTTATATAACCCCATTGCCTTATTACCCCTCGCTGCTCAGCTGCATCTTTTAATTAACTGGGGACGTCATCCTCCGCTGTTTTTCTTCCCTTGAAAAAGCATCTCAGGGGAATATATTCGCGATGCTGTTTTTTCGCATCTGCAGTCGACAGTTAGAATATTTATTCCTGCAACTTTAAGTTCTGCTGCACGCCTTAGCAGTAATTTCCTGTCCAAACAGTAACCAGTAAATAGTAACTCTGGCACTGGCAGCGATAGAATCCAGCAGCGCCAATTATAATTTGCAATGTGAAACGAGGATACGCGGAAGTGCGGATGTGCGGATGCGGATGCGGATGCAGCAGGCAAAACGCCAAGGAACGACGGGTAACTAAGTTATTAGCGGATGCCAGGGCAGCTCACTCGACCCTCTCATTTCCCCCGATTTCTGCGTACATAAGTATATACTTATGTATAACGGCGGATGCATAAACGTATATAGTGACAACTATTTGGGTCATCGTTCCTGAGGAGCAGCTTCAAACAAAAATGTGTCTTCTTCGGTCCTTCTGAACTCTACTCTTCGCTAGGCTATTACCATTTTTGTGACGGAGTCCTATACTAAGAAGTTTGATATAGACACTTCCTTCTTTCTATGAACCGTTTTTACAATCGCAGAAAACGTTTTAAAGCAAAGACTACTTAAGAAAATTGTTTAAATAATCACTACATTTTTTTAGTGGGCTAACTTGATTATTTTTTAGATGAAAAAAAGTACTAAAAAAACCTTTAAATTTACTTTTTATCTAATTTCTCTTAAGATATAAGAAAACTTATAAGGTTTCAAAACCAATACTTATGTCTTTAAAGGTATTAGGAAAAAACTTTAATAATTTTAAATCCTTTCTTTCAGCCTATATAATTTGGCATTTCAAAATTCTTTTCAAGTGTATCCATCTGCTTATGTATGCCCTTTGGCTTGGGCGTGGCATCGACATCGACATCAGCATCGGCAATTTCCGGTTTTGTTTTCGCTCAGTTCCGACAGCGGCCAGCGTAAATTAGTTCAAAGCTCTAAAATGGCGAAAAAAGGAAAGCGGAAGTCGGGCCAATCGATGCCACATCCCTTGGGTTCCACATCCCTTCCCTTCCTCCGCCCCCGCCGCACTTTCTTTTGTTGCCGAACTGATTGAAACCGGGAGGAACTGTAGTATCAGTTGCTTATTATAAATTATCAATGATTAATAAAAATGCTTTGTAAATATTTGCACAGCCAACAATTCGACGAGAACTTCTCTCTGATGGATTGGTCGGTAAACAAAGGAGCATGAAAGAGTTTCGCTTGAGCTGGCTGATTGAATTTTCAGGAAATTTTCGAGACTTCTACCTCAAATTTGTTACCCAATTATGCCTTGCAGAGTTTTGTTGGCCCATGATTCGGTTTGGCAGCATTCACATTTCTCGATTCTGATTTCATCAGGGAAATCTAATCAGGACCCACTGCCTAATTAAAGGGAAAGTCATGGGCAAATTTACACAATGAAAAACAAGTCAAAAAATATTTATATGGTTTAAATCCTATTCCATTGATATAAAAATAAAATTCATTGATATTGGCAGAAAATATACATTGTCTAGTTTAGTCTAGCTTAAAACCAGCATTTAAAATCCTTTAAAAAACTATATTAATTATATTTTGCGATAATTTTGCACTGTTTCCAAAATCTTTATAGTAGTTAGGTTATCGAGATATTTCCCAATCTTAATTAATATTTATATTTCTTTGAGTGTTGGATATGGGCAAATAAGATTATATCTCTATGCATATAAGGCTATATGTTCCTGTCAAAACATAAACAAGTTTCTTTTAAAGAGACTTTCAAGGGTGCCACAGAGATTCCTATGTTCTTGGAATCACTTATAATTTAATTTCCCATTACCCTCACCGAATTTATGAAACCCATTCAAAGAACTAAGGGTGACTTTCGGCTCAGTGTAGTTGCTCAACTTACATTGCATGGCAGATAGGCATGGGTGCCGGCCTGGCTAATTATTGTCTGGTAATCATCTATTGTTGGCGGTGGCTTAGCGTTGTTGTTGCCACCGGGCGGCGGGTTGTGCGCCTCGTTGTTGTTGTTGTCGTTGGCGTCGTTGTGGCAGGCTCAGTGGTTGTTGTTGTTGCTGCTGTTGCTGATGGGGGGGAATCCCCCACTGCATTCAGGGCAATCGAAGCTGCAGATGTGGCGTTGTCCTGCGCTGTGATTCTATAGCTCTGCTGCTCCTGGATATTCCGACTGCTCATAATCAGATTCGCCCCGAGGGCAGCGGTCAGCCGCTGATCGCCATTGTTGCTAATGTTATTAATGGCCACATTGTTGCGGGAGCGATCCCGAGGAGCTGCATCATCCACAGCCAAGGCTGCAGCGTCCATTGTTGGCCCAAATGCTCCGGCTTTGTCCAGCGTCTGGGCCATTTGCGTTGTCGCCGGAATTAATGCCTCGCGCCTTGATTGAGTCCTTTGAAAGGCTCGCCCATTTGTTCCATTGCTGTTTAATATTGATGTCTCCTCCTCCTGCGACTGCCCCCTGATGGCTGGATAATGGGAGAGAAAAGGAAAATGAATAGGTTGTGAGTGGAAATTAATGACTTAGTGTTTTGTTTTCTGTCCCCCAACCAGCCACCCAGATGTATACATATATATATTTCAAATGCCATGATCCCCATTTATCTGGAATACTCGTTACGACAATTAAAACGATTTACGGCCCCCGACATTTTTGGTTCAATAAATTAATCTTCATTTTTCGGACTGCCTACCTCCGCCCGAAAATAGGCAAAAGTTTAACTTGAGTTTCGGGCCAAGTGAAATTAATTAGCTAATTACGAACTTGAATTGATTTGCATGTACTTGGGAATGGAGTGAAGTGAAGAGCCGTTTACAATGACAACAAAGTTTCGGAAAATTCGCGAGGCCAAAAGCTGATAATTGGCATTAAACCGCTTTATGGTAGTCCTGGCAACTCAGGAAAGAAGAACTTGGCCCTCCGCTCCACCTGAAATCGCAATAAAATATATACCAAAATCGACTATAAATTATATGCCTTTGACACACGATTCGAAGGCTTTGGGGGGGCTTCCCCGATGCAGATTGCTGGCTGCAGCTTCCCATACAAATGCAACGCGTAAATTTTGCCAAATTGGCGCCATAAATTTCGCACGAAACTTTCCAAAAGTCAAAGATAGAAACAGCCAGAGAAAGCGAAAGTAAAAGTGCGTGGGTGAGCTTTAGGGTTGGAATTTACTTGGCAGTTCGTTGATAAGAAAGTCGGCAAAAGGTTGGCCATAACTTTTTCCACTTTGATTTAAATTGAATGAAACTTTATGCACATTTCTTGCTAACTAAACAAGTGTATAAAATGTATCAAGGCAAACGTGAAAAAAAAGATACAGCCTCCTGTAGGGAGTTCATATTGTCTTATCCATCTTTCTTCGGTTTTAGGAGCCAAAGAATACAGTTTTGTCAAGCAAACTAATTTTTAAGTTTGCCTTTTGGAACAGTTTTAATATTTGGTTACATAAGATCCCTAAGCGCATAAGAATATTCAGTGAATATTTCTACAATGGAATGCTTTCTCTTGGTTTTTTTTATTTCCATTTCACATCCAAGTGTGTGCAACTTGGTCTTAATTAACTAATGAACAGGCATCCCACAATACACAGAGAGAAATGAGTATCATTAAGAGCCCTTCGACAGCCATTGAACTTCGAGTGGGAAATAAAAGGGAGAGGAGTCGAGGGTTCCGGCCTTTTCTAATCAAGTTCAGCGTATTTGGCCGGGCTCAAAGTAAATGCAAAACTCTGGAAGCCCTTTTAACGATTCTGACCAAGTCGTGCGTGTATCTGTGTGCGGCTCTCTCTTCAGGACTCAGAATTCAGGACTCTGTGCCTGTGTGCGTATGCGAGAGCCTGTGGGTGCGCCAGTGTGTGTGCGTTATCATGTTTTATGTTTATACTTCGTGTACGTGCAATAAAGATAAAGCGATTGCATATAAAAAACTTTTTAATTGCCTGCACTAATGATGCACTGCAGCCAACTTGATTATAATAAAGTTACAAAAATTCCATTTCCCTACGAGCACAGTGGGCAAGAATTAAAGAGAAAGTGAGTTTAATTGGGCACGAAATTTAAGGTCCCAAAATGTCTGCTTATATAATAATAATATAAAAAATTTTTTCTTAGAACAAATACATCCAGAAAATCAGAAATTCTTATATATTCAATTTATTTTTAAAAGTTGTATATCAATTTAATAAATATTTTCCAAATACAAAAATACTTCTCCAAAATAAGTAATATTAAACTACCTCCATGATATATTATCACTAAATTTAACCTATTTCATTTTTTGATAATACCCTTTTAATTTATTATGATGTTAGGCAATTTGAAGGTCCTCTCTGTAGCAGTAATTAAATGAAAACGTTCTTTCTTCGTTTATTTTTTGTGGCCCACTGTCAGATGGCTCAACTCATTTGCCCGCAAAACATATAAAAACCAACAGCTGCCGTCTGCCGGTCCAGGACCCTCGGAAAAGGACGAGGAATACGAGGCAGTAGAAGGGCGAAAAAGGGGGGCGTGTCAGCCGCGATGAAACAAATCAAAACAGCATAAAAAAGTGCAAAGAAAAAAATGAAAAACAAAATAATAAACTCAAATTATTACGAAAAAAATTATCATTTAGGGCGGCACTGCATAGGGGTATTAAGGATGTTTGGGGACTGGAAAAAAGGGAGGAAACCAATGCGACAACTGGCAAGCCTTAAAAAAAATTTGCTTAATCTTTGCGCGCGAAAAACAGAGGGAAAAGTCGCAAACTAAAAAGTTGTAAAAACAGACACGAACACAACCCCCTCTGCAGCCACGCCACTGTAAAAACAAATTGTGCGCAAGAGTAAAAAATAAAAAAAATAAAAAGGAGACACAAAGTGATGCGGGAAGAGGGAAATCAAGCTGAGCACTTGATGGGGGGTTGGGGGAAAACTTGCGTAATGAGCCTGGGTTGTCGGGGAAAAGCGGATGGAAAACTCTCACACATAAAATGAGCCTCATCATGCAGAATTTCATTGACTCGACGGAGGAGGAATTGGGTAAAAGCTGCTGGGACTGCAGGGAAACTTGAGATGCCGCCTCCTTTCACTAAAATTAACCGAGCAGGCTCCCAAGTCCCGCGGGCATTTTTAGTCGAAAGTGTTTTAATCAAACGCTCCTCTACACTTTCATCGGCCGGAAGCCAGTTGAGTTCGCCGGAGTCGAAGTTTGTCTGCCACTGTTATTGTTGCGTAGTTCCTTGTTTTTGTTTGTTCCCCTCTGTTATTGTTATGGCAACAATAATAAGAACAACAATGGAAAAGAAAAACTATGCCGAAATCGCAGCTGAGCTGCGAAACAATTTTAATTTATAAACTCATTTCCCTGAATAATTTATTTTCTTGTTTTGATAATCTTTTACTTGGAAATCTGAAATTCCACTCTTATTTGTTTTAAACATTAAACTGAAATTTATGTTGTTCATATCGAACTTTGTTGCTAATAAATAAGGTGATCCGAACATTTGAGCCCATAAAAACTTCTAACTTCACAACTCACTGGTATCTATAACTCGTAAACATCAAAATTTGTATTCAAAACTCGTAAATTTAACGATTTATTTACTACCATTTAGAAATGTCCTACAGAACATCTTGAGCGAGATTGTTTTTCGGGGGTGTTGAATGAGTTTAAGAAATAAAATATGTTTATATTTTGTTTTTCGTTATTGAGATAAATGTTTTCTGCAATTTCCATTTTCAAAGTTTAAGCTAATTAACTAGAAATATTTTATTGCTTTTTAACAAAACAAACAAACAAAAGTAAGGATATACTTTCTGTGTTTTTGTCAGGAATTGATAATTTTTTGGAAACGAAAATTACCAGTGGCCTATCTAGAGATTCTATTCTCCCTATCACAATCTCCCTAACACCCATTTCTCTCAGTGTACTCCCCTGCAGGCTGACTGATGTCCGGGACGCGCCTCCGTTGTGTCCGTCTCGGGCTGACAACATTTCGACACTTTTCCTAATTATGATGGGCATGTTGCCGGGATGATGAGGCTAATACTGCCTCTGATGGTGATGATGATGGTGGAAATTGGCTTAACCCCAAGGCGCCCGGCCGCAGTTATGGAGCGGCGTAATCTGGCCGAATCTCCCCCAGCCACCTCGAGTTAACTCGATGCCAGGAGGACTCTCGGCCGGACACTCTCATCAAAATGCCAGCCTAGTTTTCGCCCATAATGATGACAACACAGGGGCGTGGGAAGGGAGATTGGGGATGGGGGCCAAAAACAGGCCGTAACTTTGTGTAATAATTGTTGTTAAGCGTTTAAGTCGGGCTTGCCACTTTGGCGGCTAACCAAGAGGCATCTCGTGGGAAAATAACCCGAGACTTGAGCAACTTATCGCTACCGCAAGGCAAAACGGTCAAAAAGCCAACAAAAGGGGGTTTTCAAGTGGGTTGGGGGCTGAAACGCCCCCTTGAGTTGGGTCAGTTTTGTGGGGGCTACTTCACTTTTGGCTACAAGCATTCAATGATGCTTAACTGGGCAGCTGAATTTGATTAAACAAAAGCAAAAGTTTTTAACTTTTCGCTCTTCTACTTCTCGCGAACCCCATTCCCATACCCATGCCCCGCTTGTTACCAGATTGTTGTTATTTCCCGTTCAATTGGCAGAATCTCCTCAAGCGTTTCGTCAATCACTTTCATGGCCAAAAGAATCGAACAGCTTGCGATAGGGGGCAAAGGCCAAAATAAAGGAGGAAAGAGGGGTTACCTAGGGGTGGATGCCAAAGTTGCGAGCTTTTAACACAATTTAAAGCATCCAAATCGGGCGCCTCCGCCCCTGCCTTTCAGGGGAATTCTCCCCATTGCTCGGCCTTGCTGCAGTTTTTTCCACTACACCCAAAAGTTTTCTATTGAAAAAACAAAATTCTGATAGGGCACGAGTGCAGCGTTTGATCGAGTTTGGTTCATTGATGAAAATGTCGAGAGTCACTTTCGTTATGCTTTAGTTTTAACTTTTAGTTTAGCAATTTCTGCCTTTTCATGTTGCCATTTTGATTTTAATTACCTTTCTCTCTCTTGTTTCCCTTGGATTTTTTCTGTTTTTATTTGTCGAACATTGTTGCCCAAGGACTCGCTCAAAAAGGTTCTTTTTTAATTCTTTTTCAGGGAAAAGGTACGAATCGTGAACAATTTGGGAAAACCATTAATTGCTGGTGAAAAGTAAACTGCTGAACGGATAAAACAATTGCCATTAGTGGATTTAAGCTACCCGTTACCAATCTAAACGAAAGTTTTTAGTTTTCTTCCCTGTTATTTCACCTTTTCCGTCGGATTTTGCTAGTTACTTAGATAATTATTAATAACATTTAAAAACTTGTTTTATTTGGAGTTGTCTTTTTAAATCCTTTTGAAAATTTTTTTTAATATATTTTCAAATACTTTTTATGACACATACGTTACTTCGCGATGTAAAAATCTGCGCTGGCATCAAATGAATCTGCAGCACCAGCGTTGTTTTGCGAAAATACCAACATAATTTAAATTGACCCTGACAAGTCAGGCAAAAAATACCAAGTAAACCCACCCCCCGAACACCTTTACAACCTTCCCTTCACCTCAGACAGTCTGCGCTAAAATATGCACAAAGGCCAAAAGATGTACGGCAGCCAAATGCCTTAAATTCGCCCACAAAATGCTCTTAAGCCGCGCATATCAAATTGTTTTTCCATGAAAACACGAGAAAAAGATTCAGGAAAAGGGGCCATGGAGTTGGGGCGACAGAGTCATTTAATATGCGACAAATGTATCGTAAGAAATAATTTCATATTTGACGCAGCTTACCCGGCAAACAGATGAGCAGGGCCAGCAGGATCAGGGCCCCGGCATCTTGGCCAACTCCATTAAAGTGCCAGGCAAATTGATAATCCTTGCTCCGTGTCGGGTGTGGAATTGGACGTGTTTCGCGCCCCGAGCTCCTCGTTTCGCGGATATAAGGAGCGTATCGCGTATGGCGTATAGCGAATCGCGTTTCGGGCTTCCGATTCGGTTCCTTGTTTCGCGGTCCTTGGCCAGCTAAATCCTTTGGCCTTAACTGGGTCACATTGGCTGTCTGTCTGTCTGGCGGCGCTGGGCCGCTGGAGCCTGTGTAAATTTACCCCCTACCTCGGCGGGGATTCCAACTCAGAGTCCGCTGGTGTTGTTTCTCTTGTTAATATCGCGTATACGCCCTGACACGAACTGCAATATCTTCCTCGCCTTGGCGGTTGCTCGGCGCACAAAATCGCAGGGTTAACATATTTTCAAATTGCACTTGCACGGTAAGCTTGTCGGGGCAATCTAAAATAACTAAAAGCTAAAAATGTCGTATGGCTCAGTTGAGAGGCAAGAACAACACGTGGCCAATTTTAAATATTCCCACAATGTGCCCGTCGAGCTGGGTACCCATTCTACCTATCCAACCCGTCCTACGATTTAGGTCTTCTGTTCCTACATACATTCCCGGGCTCCTGTAGATCCTCGGGCCCGTGTCCCAGTTTATGACCGGCGTTTTGCGCCGCATCCTGTTTTTGATATGTTTGTGCAAGTTTTCGGTTGGCCTGGGTAATGTGGGTGCTCTTGGCATTAGTTGCCCAACCAAGGTGTTCCCGCTTTCTTCGGATATCTCTAAATCTCTTATCTGAATTGGCAATTCAATATTTTTGACACGAGGTTAACTAATAGTATCAAAATAAAATAATGTTATTTAAAAAGAAATTTAGGAGACTAAAAATATAAGGATTTTGCTAACATTTTAAATGACTGATTTATTCTATGTTTTGAAACTATTCACAGCCAAGAAACTGATATGTAAATATACGGGCAGCCAACAAATCACTATTTCATAAGGAATTACCTTAATTGCATTTTAGGTGTCTAAAAGTATGCAACAATATATTTTAAGTGCAGAAGTACAATGAGTTTAGTCAGAAAGATGATTGTTTATTATCTCTAATTTATTGTAAAACTCTAGTGATTGTGTGGCACCCAACAAAAAGAAAAACAAAAATTAACATGTATTAAAATAACGCTTCGAAAACTAGAAAGATAAGTGATAAAAACCTCAGATCAGTCAAAATCTAAAAATGGTCTAATCTATTCACCCTCTAAATAAAGCAGTGATAATTTCTACCAAAATTCTAGCGATTTACGTTTCCGGAACGGGAACACATGTAGTTCTAAGTTGTGTAAGCCTGGGCTGGGCATTCCATTTGACCAACCTCTGCAGCCGTCGCTCGCTCGGTTTGCCAGCTTCTGCGGCTGCTTGTGTTACCTCATCTTTCTTTTACGCCCCAGACTATTTGGCATTAACGAAATTTATTTATGCGGGTGTTTAGTGGGGCGTAAAAGGAGTACATATGGCCATCCGGGCTGGCGGACACGCCCTCCGAGCCAACTTACGGATGCAGGACACGCGCAGGATGAATTGAAAGGATTCTCGATGGCTGGCCAAGGTGTAGGTGGGTCCAACCGGCTGGCTGGCAAAGTCTGGCCAGGAATAATGATTTAAATACTGTTGTGTCTCTGCCAACAGATGGGCTGTAAGTCGGACCACGAGTGGCAGCCAGAGTTTGAGAAATACCAGGCATACATAAGTAATGGCGGTGGAGTAGGTGGCCCAATGAAGCGTTAACTCAAATGTTAAACAAATGTAATGTTCCGGACGACTGGGTAGAATGCCCTCAAGTAGGAGAACGAGTTCGGGTTCGGGTTGGACCTTGAGCCATCCAAGGCTGGGATAACACAAATAATATTAAATTGATTGCACAAACAAAACAGCAGCGGAAGTGTAAATGATTTAACACAATTCCTATTTCTATTCGCATTCCGCATCCTCGACTTTTGACTGTTGTCCGTCTGAGTCTTGGTTTCGGTCTTATTCTTGGTCTATTCCCGGTCTGAGCCATCTGCTGCCCAAAAACCCTCAGACATTTGGTTCTTGCTCAACGGCGTGGAAAGCGGGAAATTCCCATCTTGTGCAATTTAGTTTATTTCGATTGCCATTCAATTTCGTAACTGTGTCATTAATTCGTTATTGTTTTATATGGTTATTTCAATACTATTATTGTGGTGGCTTTTCTTGAACAGTTCACTGGCTATTATGTTTATGCAAAGTTATCTATTCTTAAGAACGACTCTTTTAACTAATTTACCGATTTAATGGATTTAAAAAACAGTTTATATATTTGAATCACGTTTAAAATCAGTTGGTTATATTGTTTTTGTTCTGATATTCATTCAAAATCAAGGTTACTTTTATAAGATAGTTAAGGTAATAATATAACTTGTTTATGTTTACTTTCATTATAATTATAGATCACAAAAACGTTTTGATTTCTTGAGTTAGTTGAATGAACTGATTGGCTTTTAATTTCCACGGTAGTTTTTATTATTTTCACTTAATAGTATTACATCAATTTCAGCACAAGTGATCACTGTAGATTGTCAAAGATCCGTTTCAATAATAACCATATATAATTCTCCGAGAAGGCTGTTTGAGCGGCTTTGAAGCGAGAAGCGAACCACGCTGGGCACCGGCTAAAAGTAAACTAAGCCAACTGACGACACCTTAACAGGCCAGGCCAATCGGGCCCGAAGTGAGCCGAAGAGTTGGGCTCGGTGGCGTATACACAATGCCCGCTAACAGCGGAAGAGAAAGCGATGCCGCAAGCGGGAGTTCACTGTTATGTTAACTCTGGCCCGCCTGTCAACGAAACAAATGCAATTACACGGGTAAACTGCTCTATTGTTATTGTGCATGTTTTATGCATTGAGCTGTTAGGCAAATTACTCATTTGGATTTTATGTAAATTTCAGCCCCGAAATGCATAAGCCCAGAGTGAGACCCCATATTATTATGGCTTAAAGCCCTGACCATTTTCACGACAAAGAAGGCTGCAATCATACCGCCGTTTAAGACAGCTTAACAGTGCGATAACATAATTCCTCATTAACGTCGAACCAAAGGCGCCTGCACAATGCTTGAAAAAAGTGCTGGCCAAAAAAAAAGGAGCAAAGCGGATGAAAAGGATACGAATGAAAGTGGGACAGCCAGAGAAAACCGCATCTTGGCCGGATATGCCATGGCAAAGTGCAAAACACAGGGATAAACGAGGATATTGCGGACTGGTTGAGAGCGGAGTGGGCCAGCTAGGAAAACAAAGGACCAAATTATAATGCAGACGAACGGGCCATAGATGTCGCCGCGAATTGCGAAGACATTCGCGACTTTGAAGGGTGAACTAGTGATAGTCCGCTTGGGAAGATTGGGAAGAGGACCATCAGGATCCGAAAAAACGAAAGCTTTTGCATAAAATTCAATTTGTCGTGTGCAGCAGCCATGAATATGCCGAACTCCGGCTTAAAGCCGAACTCCCACGCCCACCCCCAGGGCGTAACATATGCGCGAAATTACTTACGTAGTGCTGTCAGTGACAGTTTCGGATCTGGAACCCCCCACACCATGGCATCTCCATCACGGCCCCAGTGCAATTCCCATCCAATCCCTGCAAACCCCACAAAGGCTTGTAAAACAATGACTGCATATATGCAGAAGACACATTCACTTTTTAATACGGCACCACCTCCAAACCCGCCCACTTGCACAATTGCGAATATTTTTATTGTTTATGTAGTTAAATAATTGAACCACCCACGGCCGCACACAATCATTGGCAAATTAAAACGATTTTTGCATATACATATCCCTTTGTTTCGCTCTACGCAGTTGAATTGAAAGGCCCGCAGCTAATTGTTTTCCATAAAATGAAAATAACTAAAAGAATTACTCAAAAACATTTGCCAGTAACGCAGACATGTCGAGAGTTAATTATAGGGCTATTATATGGGTTTAGGAACCGGATTGAACCAATGTTTCCCGACAAATTTGTATCTAGTTAGCTATTTAGAGAGGGATTTAAATTATTTTCATGAAATTGTGCATGCATAATAGGGTATAGAAATCAAAACTTTAATTAATAAGTTTCGGTAGCAGGGAAACACACCTTGAATCCTCCTCCCGCTTTCAATTATTTTCCCTTTCTCCAGCTTTAAACAATCGAGCGAATTATCCCTGCCAGTCCGAATGAAGAAAAATTTTCCGCTTAGCTCTGCAGTTCACTCAATAGAACTCAATCATGCAAGACCCTTGAAAATGAATTCTCCTTGCCTTTTGCACACCTTTCACTTTTTTCTCACAAGTCATTAATCACAGTTGTTAAAGGTAAGTGGGGGTGGAAAAATTAAAAAATTACTCAAAGGAGCAGATAAAAAATTGTATAAGAATGCGCCTTCTTAAATGGGTCGCTGGAATTAATGCGATTAAATTGGACAAACGCCTGCACCGATTACAAAGGATAATCAAATTAAGTTCGAAAACAGACTTACCAGGTTCTCATAAAAAACCCTTCAAAGTGCTTGTATAGGAGAGAAAGATAAGATGGAACGATTAACCTAGAGAGGGGAAAACAAAGCCATTGTTAGAGTCTGGATCTTAATTAAGCTTCAGATTGCCAATGACAGTAAATAAAGTGTCTTGAAGGGCTTGGCAGGAGTATAGGAAAAATAAATTCTAAAAATGGAAAATATATAAAAAGTTTCCCATTTTATCTACCTAAAATTCCTGCATGTAATCCCTGTACAGGAAAAGGCACACCAACCAGGAAAAACATACATTTCTGGACATAATGTTGAGCAGCCACCAATTAATTCAAAATTTATAGCCAGTCAAGCACTAAGGCATCATTTTCCACAACCCGGTACATTCATCGTGTCTGGCTAATGTGAACCCATGGGCGGTGTGATTGGGATGGGATCAGGGGGGTCGACGGTAAGGGGATAATTCCAATTTTGCTGCTGAAAGGGGGCTTGTCAGGGAGTGGGGGTTCAGGGTAGGAGGACTGCAACAAGGGACCACATTAGCCGCAATGGCCGTGTGTGACAGCTGGACGATGTCGCATATGAGGGTCTGCCGGCCTAACTGTGTCATTTATGCATTGCCGACTGATTGATTTGGCACACTCTGGAGCCCCTCAGCACGAGGGAGCCAAGTAAATGTTCAACCGATGTTCCTGCGGTCGACAGCAGCTCCAGGCCGAAGTGTTGATCACTGCACTTGGAAAAGCGAACTGGATGTGTCAGTGTTAAATAATGGACCTTGTCTGAAAAACTTGATAAACTGGTGATAAGTTTTTACAACCTAAAGTTAACCCAAATTCATTGGATTGGATGGATTGAGTTTTTAATAAATCTTAATGAAAAAATCACTCTTATGGAATGATTAACAGAGGAATATTAGCTGTTAATCCATACCTGAACGGTTACATTAACATTTTAAAAATATTTTATAAATTTATAATTTAGGTTATCATGACTTTTCAAAATATAACCACTAGTTAGTCAAAAATCAGACAAGTATAATGAATATAAAAATCAAATATCTCTAGATATAGTCATTCAAAGTTTATTATACTCTGTCTATCGTACCTATGGCTCATACACTTTTAATAAGAGTAAATAGAAAACATGTCCAATCTCATCGCAAGCTAGGATCATTTCAATTTAAGGCTGTTAAGCAGAGTATATACCATTTATGGCAGTAAATACTGGGGGGCATGGAGCAGAGCAGTAAATGAAGCCTTAAACCGAGTTCAAATGACAGTGAAAATCTTTTTGCAAATCCTCTAGGCAACAATTACACATTTGGCTGGGACTCGGACCGAACTGTTCGGTGCTGGCATTAATGCGGTTAGGTTGTGTAACCTTCATCCCAGTCGCTCGAGGATAGTCTATCCCCCTATCCCCCTGGAGGCCCCTGCCCGGCCCCCAAAAGTGCCAAAAAGTCTAAAAAAGGAAATTCGTTTTTTCAGTTTCGGATAGCTGTTGTTTTGGTCCTGTGGCACGGCATCCTCTGCATGACAACTTCACTCTGTTGCTCCATTTGCAACATTTATGGGATTTCGTATGTTGTTGTCTGTCGTGCGCTGTGTATCTATGTGTATCTGGCTCTGTGTGCGAGAGGTCATTTTATTGTTTCCAGACAAAATGCTCAAATGGGAATTCGGCTTTTAGCTTTTCGCCCAGTGGGTGTGTGTGTGAGTAGCCGATAGATTTAGATTGAACTGTCGAACATGTTACTGGGGTTTGTTCCGCAGGCCTCTGCTCACATATGTACCAACCAAAAAAGGATTCGAACCGGCCAAAACAATGCAAATGATTAGAATAATCGCCGTAGGTGTTTGACTTACCCGGACTTACTGGCCCATAAACTCAATTTCAGTTTGCCGCAATAAAAGTTTCCATTTCGCCCTTTTGAACGTTTTTATTCCTCCCGATTGACTTTTGTTCATGGGTTCATTTTAAAATTAAATCAATAAAGGGTGTAGATTTCCTTTGAGCCTTTAAGAAAGTCGGCTACCTTATTATTCATTGAAAAATTTCCTATTATCAAAACTTTTCAGTTTTCTCCGTACCAAACGTTAATTCTGATTTATGTTTTTTTTTCGCTGACAAAACGGGGGAAATTTTCATTCATTTGCACCTTTTACAATTGCGGTTGTTTTTGTCTCCCTTTCGGAATGCTAATTTCTAGCGTGGAAATTTTCAACACGTTTGCAAATTAGATTCTGCGGCTGGTGTGTTAGAACCTGGTATGTTGATATGTCCAAAAGCTGCAAATGGTAGATTTGTTATGGTTTCATGCATTTTTCAGGGAACAATTTGTGCCAAGCTAAATTCCAGAGTTCCTGTTTTTGTTTGCATACTTACGTGGATATTTATGCTGTTATAATTTGACCAGAGCAAGGCTTCCGGATTCTTTATTAATATCATGTTTTTTAGCTTCACATTTGTAACTTATATTTTAAGGTATATGTATGAATATGGGTTAAAGCTAATTTTATTTCGGAGGGCCTAGAATCTTTTCGATTTCGCAAAGTCTATCCATTACCTGTTGATTTCTGGCCTTTTGGTCCGTCAGCTTTTCCCCGATGGCATCCAAGGTGGCTGCAAGGGCCAATAGGGACACATCGTTGGTCTGAAGATCTCGTAGCAAAGGAGTTATCTTTGCCACGGGAACAAATCTTGTGGGGGAGATGATTGAACAGGGACTGCCTCTGCCAGGACCTCTTCTACCGGTTTTTCTTCGGTAATTGGGACTTCTTCAGATACTGCTTCCACTACTTTTTCAGCTGCAATTGGTTCTACAACAGCTGCCGTTTCTGAAACCATGGTTCTGATGAGGATTGGACAACTTCCACAGCAACTGGAGTTTCCACAGGGTCTGCGGCGATTATCTCAGGAGCCGGTTCGGCTGGAACAACATCTACTTCTGGAGCTTTCGATGCCTCTTCAGAAACCGCAGCAGGTTCCTCAATAGGACTCGGTTCTACAACATCCTCAGCTGGTTTCGTTGTCTTCTCAGGAATCTCAGTTGCAGGGATCTCTTGGGCTGCTGGAACTACTGGCTTAGCTGCCGGAACGGTAGCCTCCTCAATAGGATCAGGATTTATGGGCTCAACAACATCGGCTGTAGTGGTTTCAGCAACTGAAGTAGATTCGTTGATAGTGGAACCCACTGGTTCCGCAGTCGTTATGGGATCTTCAGTTGGTGCAGGATCCGGAACTGTCTCCGGGGACGGCTGGGGAGTCTCTGGAAGAGCTTCTGTAACCGGAGCTGGAATTTCGGCTGGAATTTCCTCTTTGGTAGTCACGGTTCCTGAACCGCTGCTGGAGTCTCTGCTGGAGAAGGCTCAACAGGAGTGGCTACTACTGGTTCCGGTTCTGGTATAGGTGGTGAAATTATTTCTGGAACTGGTTCCACAGGCGCAACTTCTTGAGTGGGAGCAGGTGTTGGGGTATCCGGCACTTCCGCAGAAACTTCTACAGGGGCAATTGGTGATTCTAAAACTGGTGCAGCTGGTGCTTCCACTGGAACGGGAATTTCTGCAACTGCTGCCTCAAGAGGAACGGAATCTGCCACTGCCACTGAAGAATCGGTAAATCCAACTGGTGGTATAGATGCGCAAACTACTCCTTCTACTGGAAGATCGACAGGCGGTGCAATTGTTACGGGCTCTGTGGCAGGAAGTGGAGCTTCAGCAGCCGGAGTCTCAGGTGGAGCGGCGATTACAGGAGCAACAGCAACAGGTGGATCAGCGATCACAGGAGCGACATCTGGAGTATCAGAAACAGGAACCGAAGGCGGAGTAATCACAGCATTAGCAACCGGAGCAGCGGCTGGGACTTCTGTTACTGGTGTTGATGTTACAGCAACGGGGGAAGCAACAGGCGGTGGTACAGCCGCCGGAGTTTCGGCAACAGGTGGATCCGCGATAACAGGAGCAACAGCAACAGGTGGGTCAGCGATTGCAGGAGCAACAGCAACAGGTGGTGCAGCGATCTCAGGAGCAACAGCAACTGGTGGTTCAGCGATTAAAGGAGCAACAGCAACATGTTGTTCAGCTATGACAGGAGCAACTGCAACTGGTGGTTCAGCGATCACAGGAGCAACAGCAACAGATTGTTCAGCGATTACAGGAGCAACAGCAACTGGTGGTGTAACGATCTCAGGAGCAACAGCAACAGGTTGTTCAGCTATCACAGGAGCAACAGCAACTGGTGGTTCAGCGATCACAGGAGCAACAGCAACAGATTGTTCTGCTTTCACAGGAGCAACTGCATCTCGTTCTTCAGCGATCACAGGAGCAACAGCAACTGGTGGTGCAGTGATCACAGGAGCAGCAGCAACTGGTGCTTCAGCGATCACAGGAGCAACAGCAACAGGTTGTTCTGCTATCACAGGAGCAACTGCAGCTGGTGCTTCAGCGATCACAGGAGCAACAGCAACTGGTGGTGCAGTGATCACAGGAGCAGCAGCAACTGGTGGTTCAGCGATCACAGGAGCAACAGCAACAGGTTGTTCTGCTATCACAGGAGCAACTGCAGCTGGTGCTTCAGCGATCACAGGAGCAGCAGCAACTGGTGGTGCAGTGATCACAGGAGCAACAGAAACTGGTGGTTCAACGATCACAGGAGCAACAGCAACTGCAGGCGCTGTGGTCACAGGAACAACAGCAACAGGAGCAACTTCTGAAGTAGCTGCAGCAGGAGTCGATGTTGCAACAACGGGTGGAGCAACAGGTGGCGGAGCAGCAGCCGGAGTTTCAGCAACAGGCGGAGCACTGATTACAGGAGCTGCGACAACTGGAGTCACTGCAACGGGAGTAGGTGCTGCAGCAACTGGAGGCGCAACGGATGCAACAGGGGCTGCAACAGCAGGAGCTGGGACTGGATGTGTAGCCATGGGGGCGACAGAAATTGGAGCAGGAGCTGCAGCGACGGGAGTAGTAGCTGTTGCCGGTGGCACACTTGCAACTGGAGGCGCAGCTACTGTAGGTGTCACCACTATCGGTGTTGATACAATCGGTGCCGCTGGTGCAGGAGACACAGCTGCGGGAACGGCCACTTGGACAGGAGTAGTCACTGCTATTGGAGCCGCAGGTGCCGCCACTGGGGCAGATGCAGGTGTTGGAGTCGCTGCTGGTTCCATTTGTACCTTTTAGCCCACTTTCACCTCAAAATCAATCCGCTCGTCCCTTTTGGCCAGGGTTTCACTTATCCAATTCTCAGTGGAAAAAAAGTTTCATGGCCAGCTTTTCATGGTCAGTAGACAACTGAAAACAGAATAACGAAAACGTGAAAAACATGAAACGTGATGGGCTTTTCTTCGGCCTTGAATAGGGACATTGCCTTAATTAAAATAAAAATCGATGAGAAATAGGTGTGTAGGAACGAGAAATGAAAGCAGAATCAGGTTTCGTCATGCTTTTTAGGATCGAATATGATTCAAAACAAGGGTTCTTTGAATTTTCAAATGCTTTGTTTGAATGACTTATATATTTCAATGACATTTCATCTAACTGACTGTCTAAAGATTTTCTTTTTAAATTGATAATCGTTACAATCTGCCTTTTCAGAAGTACTCAATGCCCACCTCCTTTTGTAGAAGTTCAATAATTTCAACCGAATAGCTTGTTTATTTTTCACAGCGACCGACTATTCGATGGGAAAACCCGCGGATAACTGGCCATTTGACTCAGTTTTCTTGGACATTTTCACCTCTTTTCATTGGTTTACCTTCCCGCAGAAGTCTGACAACTGCCCATTGAGCACAAGAACTATACGCATAGTTTCAAGTGCTTTTGCGTTTTTTCGATTCTAAGGTGCTTAGCAGCTGACCTTAGGCAGTATTAAATATTTTCCGGTTGCCACGAGAAAACATTTGGTGTGCGCTAAAAAGTGTGCTACATGCGTTTGGGTTTGCATTTGTGTTCACCAGTACGTATGAGTGATGTCTCGTATTATTGATTCCATTCCGTTTTTTGCCAAATGCATTGGATTCATCCATGGAAACGCTTTTAGGGATTTATTCCTGCTTCATCGCATATCGCTTACCACTCGCTTTGTCAGCTGCACTCGCACATAACTGGTTATTTACACAATGCTGATTACTTTGCCGTATTTGCGATGTAGTTGTCAACAAAATGCGACAAGTCCCCACCGATTGCTCCGCCCTTATCCACTTCGGTCCGCCATTCAATGTCTGATGCAATGACAGTTGACAAACTGCCACTACGTAGCCGTTGGATCGGAACACATTAGCTCGGTGGAAATGTAATCGCAAAGAACTAAGAAATAAATCTTTCAATTTTTCGAGTGAATGCAGGGGTGTGGCTGGGGGGATTCCAAGAGGAAGTGCAGCCAAATGTAAAGCAATCCACAGAGGCAGCCGGCAGTTGCACATGCCGTCCGCTGGAGCAAGTGTAATGTGATCTGCGTACAATTTGCAGCCGTCGTTTAAAAAAGTCCAACACCTCTCGCCCCATCCTCCCGAGAAACTCTGCTGGCCAGGAATGGGAACGGGAACGGGAACGGGAGCCCAGCACACTTGAGACTTTTGCAAATAGTTTTTCCACATATGAACAGAAAGAATTTCCCATGCAAAATAACAAATATAACAAAAAAATTGCAAGCGAAAAGAAAAGAAATACATATATATCGTATAAATAGAGGAGATGGGAAAACGCTTATATGGAAATGATTTCACTGGCGAAGTGGAGAAGTGGATAGGAGCAGGAGAGAACGGAGTAGTTGTGAAGATTGAATTGGCAGTTCAATTTCACGTATTATTGACATTTAAGCGTAAGCATTTGAATATAAACTGAACCCGGCTCAGGGATTGAATGGTTTGCTCGGAAGGCCGAGACCAGGAGCGAGTCCTTTCTCCAGGATGCACAGACATTGGCTGCCTATTATTTTCTGTGCGATAAATCAATCGCATGAAGCAAAATGCAGAGAAAATACCAAGATAAGTGGAAATGAAATTACATCAAGCATACAAATTGTATTTATACTTTATTCTATCCTCTGCTGCATCACTGAGCTCGACAATTGATCCGAGCAGACCAGGCGAAAAGGAGTTTGGGTAGTGCAGAGCATATGGATTTTAGATTTACCGTGAGGCTTGCGGGCATTTATAATCTAAAATGTAACTCTGGTTATACATTAGAGATCAGTTGAAATAGATTACGCCCCCCAAAAATAATAGAAAAGCAAATGCATAGTCATTATAACCATTGTAAATCAAAAAAAACGAATATACTTAAAGATCGTGATGGATGTAATACATAGATCTGCTAAATGGGATTGTAGTTCGATTTTTTTGAAAAAAAATACCATAAGTGTTGTTATTATACAATTTATTTTTGGTCCCTGGACTTAAGAATTGATTAGTTAGGATTTTTTACACAGCAGATACAAATTTACACGAAGTACAGAATTTTTGATAATTTCCCAAAATGTCTTAAATATATTTTTAATTTACTCAATTTCCAAATGCAAACTTAATTTATTTGTATAATTTAAAAACTAGTGCATGTTTAGCCAAAGACCGGATACTCTGAATCATTTTTACAATACAGCACAGGTAAATAATAATTGTTAAAATTATTGACATCGCATTTCCGCCACTTTTCAGAGGTGAGGGGCTCAAACACAAAAAACACAAATCAGCGCAACACAGAAACCTAATTGCCGTCATTTTGCACGCACTCGGGGGCGTTGAAGGTTGGGTCCAAAAACGAATACGAATGTGAATGCGAATGCGATTGGAAAATCCCAAATACAAATATGAATACAAATGCGGGGCGAAAATCGAAATTGCGAAATGTGGCAAGAGCAGCTCAAGCTTCAATCCGGGCCCGCTTCCGGGTGTATTTTGCTAAATTGCAAATATTTCTCAATTCGCATGCATCAGCAGAGAATGCAATGCAAACAATTTTCACCCGGCGGCCACAATAAAAAGGGAAACCCCCGGCGAGCGCAAAAAACCCAAACACCCGCACACACACGCAAAAGAGGCACACAAAGTGCTGGATAGGCAAAAAAAATTTTTCGCAAAAATCGGCGCCGTATGGCAACCCTGGTCGCTGTGCGGCTGCTGCAACTATGGCGCAATTTATTTCCAGTTTGATTGGTTTTTTCGTGCTTAATTGCACATGGCTTGCGGGGGGTGAAGGGGATGATTCTGACCATCCAATTGGGATTGGTGGGAATGGGGGGGTGGTGCGAATGTGTGTGGTGGTGGTGGGTAGTTGCCCCAATTGGTTGAAAGGTCGCGCTCATCACGTGCTTTAATAATGTATTCAAATTAACACGCGTCAGCCTGCCTTTCTGCTGCCCTGCGTTTTGAGTCTGCAACTCCGTTTATGCGGAGTGCTTTTCATGAATTTAGTTTTCAAAATTAAATTTTTTTAATTTTCTGAATACTAGTTATACCTTTTTATGAGTATCAGTCCTCTTAACCATAAATGTATTTTTTAAAAATTTCATTTTTTTATTGGTAGTTTATTGTTTTCCAACAAAACCTTGTCTGCTTTTTTCTTAATTTAATTAAATACTTATTCTTGAAGTCTGAAGCATAAACATGATTTGAGCCAGTGAGTGGGTCAGTCTGCGCTCGGTTAATGGCCAACACTTTGTGGTCAGAGCAAACCGGAAAAACTGGCAGGCAAATGCAAAATATTGCACACAAGCACCCACTTACGGTCGCCACCGCCCCCAACACTTTTCACTCAATTTTCCACCCAGCCGGGAAAGTGTGAGTGTGTAAATTACAGCTACATTTTTAATGCATTTTTATTTACATTTACATGGCAGCGCAAACACCGGCCCGTTGAGCGGGGGCATTTTCCTGGCCTGACACGAACTTTTGACACTTGACAATTTGATTGTTTTTAAGGCAAAGTGTTAAATTATGCAAAGCACATAACAAACACAAATCGAAAGGCAGTCACGCACAAACTGTATCAACAGCAGCAACGGAAAGTAAAATATTTAATTTTAAATAAAAAGCCGAACAACAATTTGCATCAATTAAATTTTGAGGAATACTTAAACCACTTGAATGATTTTTCAAGATTTCCATTGTGGCCAAATTCCAATAAGGACTTGAGGTATTTAGTGTTGAGTGTTTAATCTGGTTAAGGATGTGAGCATGTAAATTGTTATGTCTGTTGAAGTAAATACATTTTGTTTTATCAATTGATTGAATTCAAATCGGAATCCTAATGGGCTTATTTTAATATGCTTACGTATTTCGTGGATTATAATTAAATGAGCTGTATACTAAAATTATTTGAACTGACATTTGGGAATAACATTTTATATATTGTATATATATCTCAGTTATTAAAAAAAAAAGTCAATATTAATAGCATTAGCGCCCTAATTAAATTTCCTTTTCCGTTAAGGGAAACGGTTTAAAAAAACACAAACCAGAATTACACAATAAATGCACAATATTTACTAGGTAATTGCAACTAATGTAGCAAGTTAAATGGCAGTAAACTAATTACGATCCCAGGGTCTGGTTCAACATAATTTTCATTGCATTTTTTCAGCCTGTCCTCTCCAGGACTCCTTTTTTCAGTTCCTTCCAGCTTCTTTCCTTTCCGCTCCTTGCGACTCCTTGCTAGCTCCTTCCTTGTGGTAAATTAACTTGAATGCCGCAATGTATTTACCGGTACTCTAGGCAGGGGGAAAAACAACCAAGGATATGGCAAAGGGGGGAAAAACAATGAAAAGGCTCCGAATGGAAAGGGTTAAAGAGCAAACAAATCCGACAAGCCGAGAAGAGAAATGCTGCAGGAAGGCAGGAAAATGCGCGCTAGGAAAAATGGCTGAAAGGTGGGGCCAGGAGTCGCGTAACTTTTATCATTAGTCCGCTGGGAAATTTAACGGGCACTTAAGTTTTTCTCACTCGTTTTCAACTTATTTTTGCTGAACTATTGTTTAGCCATAGCTCCTTTCTCCTTTCTCGCCTTTCTCCCCTTTCACCCCCATTTCCCCACATCCCAGCTGTCACCTTTCATTTGGCTCCTGCTCAGCTCGGTTGAAAATTTATATTATGTTCACTCTGAATGCGGCACTCAGGTTAGCAGCATCATTTATAAGGAACTTTTTGCGGATATTGTTGCAATTTATTTTATTGCATTTTGTCTACAGTTTGCGGATTTAATTTGGCCCCCAGCACTGTGAACTACAATCTGGTCTTCACTCGGCCGGCTTAACAAGCTGCCAAGTTTTTAATGCCAGGCCTAAGCGGAAACTTTTTCGATTTGGTTCAGGTTAGGGTTCGGTTTTGGGTTCGGTACTACATTCTTCCGCTTCTTTGGGTTTATTTTTATGATTTTATGGGTTGATGCTGGTCGAGGGAGTTCGGATATTGCGCCATTAGGCTTACCAGCGGTCACTTTACTCGGCCAATTTTCATGGTTGTCAGAATTACAAGTTACTTTGAATGCGGTTGCAGATAAGGTGACATCGGCCAGGCTACGTGTTTCAGGTTCAGGCTGTCCGAGAGATATCACAATAACACGATGATACAAGTGCAGGCCCAATCTCCAGATGTGGACACGTATTCACACAGCATGTGCCCAGAACGAGGATAAACCAGCCGTTCTTGTCCTGTCTCTGGTTTTGGGATATTTTCAAGATGTGAGCATGGGAACGCTTAAAGAAATGT